AAAATCTACAAGCACATCTCCATATACAATAAAATTAGCATGATAATAAAGATAATCAAACCTTGGAAAATATGAAAGGACACACTTAGCAAGACAAACAACACCTGGCAATTTTTTACATTCTTTCACTTCTCGAAGCTGCATGCCTTGAAAGCAAGTAACCAGCTTACAAATACCAAAAGAGAAAAAGATAACCTAATATAGAATCATGAACAGAACATACCAGACTGAAAACCCCACCTTCAGCATCTTTTATCACATTAACATTAGAAACCACGAATTCGCAAATCCACAAGAACTTTGAAACAAAAAGTGTATCCAAACTTGAAATAAGCAAATTTAAACCATCAATTCTGGTTATTGGAGATCTAAACAATCAACCGAAACAAGCATCATCCGCTTCTGATGAGAACAGTATGAAAAGAAAGGAAATCGAAAGCTGAACTAGACTTTTCACATTGGAGAGCTATTAAAGCATAAGCATCACTCAGGTGATCTCACCACTACCATGGACATCAGCTCAAGTGAGCTTACAATCTTTAAAACTGAAAACATAAACACAAAGTCCAGAATTTAACTTCCCCTTCGTTTGAAAAAGTTTCCAAGCCACCAAAAAAGAGTACTCTAATTCAGTAACTCTTACTTCATAGAAGACCATTAACCATATAAAGAAAAACGGAGATGCAGAATGGGACACCATGCCACTCAAAACAAACAAATTTATTTTGTTAGCAAATCGTCATTGACAACAAATCCAAAATGTTCAAATCCTTGACCAATGCATTCACGTCTAAAGCTCCATATCTTAACCAACTACTAAAAAAAACATCTTTGAACCAGGACCATACCCACCAACCAAAACAATCGCTACACCGAAATTAACAGTAAAACAAGCTAATTTAACACATTAATAAGACACTCAAAAAATAAAAGCTCAACCAAGCCAAGAGAACATATTGACAGGACAAACAAACCATACACAGTAGATAAAACATTCATTTGGACCGGAATAAACTTTCAAAGATTGAAATAAACTCCAAATAACACAAACCTATCAAAGAACGCCAACAAATCAAAGCTCTCAACAGTGAAAATCAAACAACATGATACCTGAAATGTCCGAAACCCTAGCTTCAGACCCTATCACATCCACAAATTCATCTTCTAATTAACCAAATCAACAGAAGACAGAACTGGGAAGTGCTCAAAACTCCAAAAATCGAAGTCCCAAAGCGACGCAAGACGGATCGAGCTCGAAAGTCAAGGTCTTGGAATTGCAGGAAGAGAGAGAGAAAGAGAGAGAGAGAGAGAGAGAAGATGGAGTGCGAAAGGGGGACAGAAAAAAACAACGATAATTTGAAAAGAGGAGTTGAAGGATTTTGGCGGGTAATTGTGCAGAAAATCGTGAAGGGCAAGAAGGAGACGAAGAGAGATTGGGAATTACAGGGGCAGAAGAGGCAGTGTATGTGAGGGTTGAGAAGGGAAATACAGGTACGAGGGCTTTGAGAGAAAAAGGGGTATTTAGGTCAAAGAAATTGGGAATGGCTTTTCTGAATTTACTGTTTTGCCCCATGGGCTATCTACTGTTTTTATAATAGCTTTGATTTTTATGGAAAGGCACCCAAGAAAATAAAATAATATGAATTGTTGCTTTGAGCTTAGATTAGGAATTGAAATCTATCCATTAAAATGATTTTGAAAAAGAAAAGAAATATTGCAGTGGTGACAACTTTTTCTATGTAAATAAAAACAAATTTTATTTTGTGCATCATAGTTTGATCAAAGGATGAATAATACAACTGTGCTGTGCATGAAGTTTTGAATTTGATAGATCATCCAAATCAAATTGATCACATATGTGATGGCTAAGAACAAAACGTAAGCACAATATAACCAAAATATTTATTCTATTCCAAATTAATTACTTTTTCTAATTAAGCTTTAAATTTTCTTAATTGGGGCCTAAAACTGCCCATTGCAGCAAACCAGAGCCCAAAAAACAAAAACGTCAAAACTACATGAGGATGAGGAAGGGGCCCAATACGTGAGTGCTGAAACTTAACCCATGATTAATATGGGCCAACTTGAAATACGAGGTTCAACAACAACCTGCAAGAGAGAGTGATGATATTTCCAGCCCTCCCTTATTTTCTCACAAACTTTATATTTTCAATAAAACCTATAAACATGCCAATTACTAATTCATAAACACACATGGGTGGAAATAGTAGCACGCATTCATAATTACAATCTTATCATCAATTCATAAACAAGGTACAAGTCGAAATCCATAACTACAATTTGATTAGATATGTACAAAAGTCTAATTGATGAATTAACATATTATTCTATCTCATCCATAAATCCAAATTTAGTAAGTTGCGTCGTGCATATGCAAATTATGCAATTGCTAATTGCTGCTCCAAATTAATATAAAGTGATAAATATCCTCATCCTCTTCTTCACCTTCATTCATAATTAACCACTTGCATTGTTTTGTAACCCATTATTTAATATCCTCTACCTCTAGGCCTTGTTTCTTTGGAGACAATGTTTTCTTCAGCTTATTCTCCCTCCTCTGCCAGCTTGAAGAGAGAGAGAGAGCAAGGCCAAGGCTGGTCAGCAGAAACGTCTGACTGAGGAAAGTGAACGTCTACTGAGAAAGATCACTGAGGGCTATGAACAAACGTCGTCGTACCATGGTAGCTAACAGTTTTTTGAGGGCTGAAAAGATGATACTCCTTGGGTATTTGAACGACATCCACTTGTTTATCTGCAAGTTTCAAGAAACTGGTTTTGATGGCAACCCCCTTCCAAAACCTCCACTGTCTATGTTTGATTAATATGTTCTCCTCGTTTTAGTTAAGTTTAATTAATGTATATTATGTTATTAATTGGTTTAGTGCATGTGATGTTTGTGTCACTTGCTTACCTAGGACTAGGAGTGCTTAACAATAAACAATGGTGATGTTCGATTCTTTTTGTTACGGTCGTTTTGTTTCTTATATAATTTGTCATTGCAAAAGCTGTTTTTTGTTTTTTTTTAAATATAATTAAAAATTATTATTTTGACAAGGGTTGCAATTGCAAACTAGTAAAATTGGACTTGATATGGTGTGATATGTTATACAGAATGCAAATTCCATCTTGAAGGTTCAACAAAAATTTATACCAAAATACTCAAATTTATTTATTAAGCATGATATGTGGCCAATTACACGTGATTTATGGATAATTACAAGTTTTCATTTTACCTTTTTTTAAAAATCAAAGTGCCACACTTGAAAGTCCTGAGACGGGAGCGCCTGCTTAGCCAATAGATGAGTAACACTTCTGAGGAGCAAATTGACAAGAAATATGAGCAAATTTCATTTTACCTTAAGAAATAGAAAGAAAAAAAAATAAAGTGTTCTTATGGGCTTTATTCTAATGCCCAACACGTGGCCGCCATCTGTCCTATACAGTGTGTAATTCACTGGAAAAGAAAAAAGAAGAGAAGAAGAGAAGAAAAGGGCCAACTGGCTATTTTTCCCGGGAATATTCGCTGTTCATCTTTTTTTGGTGGGAAATCTTTTCCGTTCTCATTGAACAACAGCCCATCCAATCTTTTTTTCCTACTTCTTTTCATTTTTCTTTTTTTAGGGGTACTTTCGGTATCGTGTCGTTTTCTCTTATCAGCAGCCGACTTTTTGGCCTTTGTCGGCATATATTTCAACACCAACTTCTGAATTCCTTTTGTTTTTATATTTCTAATATGAAAATCATATAGTGAAGGGGCCAACGTGCATATGATGTTGTAAAGCTTCAACCTTTCTGTTGGGCTTTTGTTTCTGCTTGAAATCTCTCGCCAAACCAATTATTCGTTTTTCGTTTTGGCATTAGTCCGCCCTCAATTGGGTCTCTTTCATTTCCACGCTCTGCCTTCTGAATATTCAGTCATTCACTGCTTTCTTTGGTTCCACCACACATGAACAGGTCAGATTCTAATTTTGTAATTGTAAGTAAGTTCTTGTTTTCAATGCAACTTATATTTTTATGATTTGATCATCGTAGATTTTGTTGTTAATTGGATTGGTGGGTGTGGTAAATATTCATTCTTTATGTGAATCGAGTCTCTGTTTTGTACTTCCAAGCTGGTTTAATTAGATTGAATTGGGCCATTAGCCTTTTGATGGGTATTCATATTTCAAGTGATAAAATTTCAAATTCAATTTCCGTTTTTTCTTTTATCATTTTGCTGATAAGCTGGCTTTTTTTTGGGGTCATTTGTTAGAGTCGTTGTCATTAGTGATCTTGTATTGGAATTCTGGACATGGGTTGTTTCAGTTTTCTTGTTTACTTGGATTTGCTAGCTTCTTGGTCAGGTGTATTGATCTGCTAAGAGAAATTGGTCACTCCCTATTGCTATGTGTTTGTCCTTTTTATGGCGTTGACCCTTAAAAGTTTCTGCCGCCTTGGGATGCAGATTGGTTTTAGCTTTTAATGGAGGTATTGGCTTGGATTATGTGGATCTTGATGTATGAGTAATAAAGTCTTATCATGTTCATTAATACTGGTTTGATATGCATGCTAACGGTTCATTTGATATCGGGTTTTCTATGAGAAAGGGGGTTTCTATGAGAAATGGGGTTGCGTTTCATATAAATGTTTTCTTTGTTAGCTTCTGGTATAGTTTTTTCATGGTTATTGACTAATTGTCTATGAAATTGGTTTATGCATGTCACTTCCCTTTTCTATTTTTGGGTTAAGATGTTTTCTTTCAAAATTCTTAGGTTTGGTTTTTTGTTTACTGCCTACTTGTTTACTTTTGGCTCATTTTTCAATCCTTGGTGCCTTCTCAGTTTATGGGAGGAATGATGCAGGCCTAGCTTCTGGTGTTACATTAGTTGTTTCTTTGATTGTTTTGAACCTCCCTTGTCCATTACTGAATACAGTGCCGAGTTTCACCTTGGAGTACTGATTCTTATTGGAAGGACTGGAGTGTTTTCTATTTCAAGCACATGGCTGCCATGGGGACTTCATCTGCATTTATGCAGAAAGCCCCCCAGGATTTGACTAAAGTTTTGGTAACAGCTATCTTTGAGTGGTTGCTTATTTCTATGCTGTTCGTTGATGCCATATTCTCCTATATAATTACAAAGTTCGCTTATTACTGTGGATTGCGAACACCCTGCCTGCTGTGCTCAAGACTTGATCATGTTTTGGGCAAGGAAAAACTTGGTTATTATTTGGACCTGTTCTGCGGCAATCACAAGTCAGAGATTTCTTCATTAGTTCTTTGCCATGCTCACCATAAGCTTGTAGATGTTCATGGAATGTGTGAAAGTTGCCTCTTCTCATTTGCAACAATTAATAGATCCAATGCTGAGACATACAGATTACTGGTGGGTAAGTTGGGGGATGATGCTAACTTTGATTTTGATCAGGACCCATTACTTGGGGGTCATAAACCTTGCCTTTCAAGCGGAGCACTTTGTTCTTGTTGCAATCAGCCATGCATATCTCGGGGGCATTCTCAAAAGTTGATTCAGACAAAAAAATTTGGGTCCGAGGCTGAACTTGATGTGCACTTATCTCGTGATATTGAGCATAATCAGAAAGAACTGAGGAAGGGACAAGATGAATCATATATTTCAGTAAGAGCCACTCATATTAGAGATAGTGGGCTTCACCCTTTATCTCATGTTGGATACACAGAGCTCAAGGTTACTTCTGATACTGAATCGGAAGTTCATTTTTCTGATGATGATAATGCAAGTGGTTTGATTCATGAAAGATGTGATCCCAAGGAAGATATCTCTGCTCAATATGCTGAGCCCCGCATTATTACTCCAGCACTGATATATCCAGCATCTGTGCCCAAGCCTTCACTTTTGGCATCACGGGCACAAGTAGAACCCAACTCCAATGGTAGTACATCTGTAGCACCAACTGTTGCTTTTGGCCATGGATTGGAGGAACTTAATTGGCAAAAAGTTGGAAGCAAGGGTGATTTCCCTGCATTAACTGAACCTATCCTTGACAATACCCCTCCATCATCAAATGCAATGGAAGGCCCAGTTGAAGTATCAAAAGGAAGAAGTAAGTTCACAATTTTTTGAGTTTCCTCTTTTTTCTCAATGTCTTGATTTTGCTCCTTTTTTTCCCTCTAGAGTTCAGAATATTTTTGCTTTTTGTTTGAAATGCTTCTGCATAAAGCATCCATTGTTTACTGCAGTAAATTGACTTCACAATTTTCATTCTTGTCTGTGGTGATTTCTCTCAGAAGATGTGACAATAACTCATGAAACTGATCAAATATCTGCAGCAGAACCTAGGGAATTATACAAGGGAGGAGTCAGGACACTCGCAACATCTGAAACAGGTGTGGAAACAATCCCCATCTCAAGCAACACCGATCAGCAAGTAACCGATGTTTTAGATCTCGGTGATGCTTATAAGCTTGTTGTTGTTAGTAAAGGAAGGCAGTTATCTGGTGTGCTTGCAGAACAATGGATTGGGAAGGACTCTTCAAGAGTTACTGAAGATTTGAAGGTCTTGCTGTCACAATTGTCTGGCACTCGAGGGAATGAGCAATCAACAAACGAAATGAGTCCAAAGTTGTCCTCAAATAGTGGCGATTTGAAGGCTTCCGATTCTTCCAACTCTATTGGGTTGCAGATACTTCAAAAGAGGATCTCACTTGAAAGAAACGAGTCTGGGTTATCTCTGGATGGGAGCATTGTCAGTGAAATTGAGGGTGAGAGTGTTGTTGATCGATTAAAACGGCAGGTTGAGCATGACAAGAAACTTATGAGTGCTTTGTATAAGGAGTTGGAGGAAGAAAGAAATGCTTCTGCAGTTGCTTCTGATCAAGCAATGGCCATGATTACAAGACTGCAAGAGGAGAAGGCAGCACTCCACATGGAAGCACTTCAGCACCTACGAATGATGGAAGAGCAAGCTGAGTATGATAACGAAGCACTTCAGAAGATAGATGACCTTCTTGTTGAGAAGGAGAAGGAAATACAAGATCTAGAGGCAGAGCTGGAATTTTATAGGAGGAAGTTCCCAAATGAATCGATGCTAGAGAATCTGCCAGAGACAACCTGTGATATCCAGGCAAGGGATATTGTGGTGGATCATTCAGAATCAAGCGGCATTGAACATAGTGCTAGTGTTCCTAAACATGTGGACACTGGAAGGCCTCATACATACAGCACTATGCCTTTTAGTGATGAGGATGGTGGTAGGGTAAAGACTTCACTTTTGGATTTTGAAGATGAGAAAATACAAATCTTGCAATGTTTAGAGAAGTTAGAGAAGGCACTTTCATTGTTCTCTAATAATGGAGAAAACTCGGATTCATCTAAAGGTGATTGTTCTGAAAATGGAGGAAATGGGGTTGGCAAGTCGAATCTGCATAATGGTGATGGAGGTTCTCAACAAAATGATGTAATACGAGAGAATGGTTTGCCAATGCAACATCAAGTGCCTGTAACGTCAGGACATATTTCATCCCTTGAGAACCCTCTGTTAAACGGTAAACAGAGTGAAACTTATTGTAATGGGCAGAACTCTGCAGAGCCACTTGAGGCAGACCGAGGGTTTCTTGAACGCACAATTAACTCACTTAGATATGGAGAGGAGGGACTGAAGTTCATTGAACAGATAGCTTCCCACCTGGGGGAATTACGGAAGGTCAGGATAAGAAGAGATCAAACTTCAGCTTGAGCATGTATAATCCCTTCACAAATGTGAGTT